CAGGTCGCCCACAAAGCCTTGCTTTTTATTCGTTGTATTTGGTCAATTGTATGTTTGTCATCCCTTTGTTAACCTCTGTGTCTTTGTCCTCAGCATATGTTGATGTAGTTGTGTGTGTGCGTGCGTGTGTTGCGTGTTTTTTTGCTGCACGCATATGGTATTTCTATGTTACGCTGTTGCTTGCAGTTTGCCGGTTTGGTTCAACGTGCGTGATTGCATTTCTATGTTTTGCATTGTTTGAAGGGAGTGGGGTGGGTTCTGAAGGTTTCGGGGCTTGTGATTGTGTCAGGACTCCGCGACTTAGAATTTCAGGGGTAAGGGCATGACACGATATGTCCCCTGTTGTGTTGGTGGGGCTTCCGGGGCAGGGGGCTTATCGGATTTTTCGGGATTTAACAAAGTCCAGTCATAGCCTAAACCCTAACCCTAAACCCTAAACCCTAAACCCCAAACCCTAAACTTGCAACCGACCCGGATCTCCATTCTACGGAAGGGCGCCGGGGGTGGAGGGTGTCCTTCTCGTGAATTTACACTGGGCCGAATATTCATAGGCTCGTCCCGAGGACCTTAGCATCCTTAGCTTCTGCCCCCAACCATAGGCAACCATAATGGGGTTCTACCATACCGGTTACCACGGATCATAGTGAGGAATCCTAAACCCTAAACCCTAAACCCTAAACCCTAAACCCTAAACCCTAAACCCTAAACCCTAAGCCTAACCCAATCTTACAAACTCCCGCTTCCAGCCATACGAAATTCCCATGCCATGAGCCCTAAACAACCCTAAGCCTTGAACCCCGAACCCTAAACTGTTTAGGGTTTAGGGTTTAGGGTTTAGCCAAAACCCCTGAAAACCCTAAACTCCAAGCCCTTCCTCTGAAACCCAGAACCCCAACATCCTAAACCCTAAACTCCAAACCCTTTTTCTCCAAAGCACTGAACCCTAAACCTCTCGTCACAGACGTTGGACCCTAAACCCTAAACCGAGTGCTTTTGTTTCGGAAGTCCCATAGGCCTTGGAAACCACAGCGTCGCCAAGGCTCGTACTGGAGGGCTTTGGGTTTTGGGGCTTTGTAGTTTTCGAGTTTTGGGGGCTTTCGGGTTTAGGGGCTCTAGGGTTTAGGGATTTAGGGGTTTAGGGGCTTTTGGGTTCAGGGGCCATGGTTTTTTTGGGTTTAGGGGCTTTTGGGTTCAGTTGCTTGGGGGGCTAAGGGATTGAGATTCGTCGTCTCCCGAGTGTCGGTGCTACTCGTGCTATACGACAAAACTCGTGCAACAAGAACTACCTGGGGTTCTAGATCCAGGGCTTGGGAGGCTTGCGTTACTTGGGCTGAGTCCAGGAAAGGCCGTGATAACAGCAAAAGGAAAGGGAAAGCGAGGGATTACGCGGTAGCGATAGTCGTACTGGAGAGCTCGATTTCAGCTCGTGCTCAAGATGACAGAAGATCGAGAGTGAAGGTGAGGCAAGACTGTAGACACGTTGAATATTCTGATCCGAATAGCACTTCTCACGTTGCTCATGGGTTGTTTCTTCCCCAGTGCGAGCTTTTGTGTACCACTCCCGAGTTGTTTGTGGACTTCTGCTTCCTATGTCCACGGCATCCTTCAAGGCACTAGTGCTGCCATCAGTACTGCGATAGGATCGTACGGCATCAGGATATGATTTTAAGCACCGCCGCATCCGCATCCGACAGTGTGCGTGAGTGTGTAGCCGGAGTAGTGTTCGGATACCATGCTCACCCGCCAACTCGTCGTCGTCGTCGTCGTCGTCGCAGTCGCAGTCACAGCGCCTGTGAGGAGGAAGAGGAGGATGAAAGGAGGAAGAGTGGTGGTAGTGGTAATTGTCGTTGTAATAGTCGCACTATTACTGTAGTAGCAGTAGTAGTAGTAGTAGTAGTAGTAGTAGTAGTAGTAGCAGGAGTAGTAGTAGTAGTAGTAGTAGTAGTAGTAGTAGTGGTAGTAGTAGTAGTAGTAGTAGTAGAAGAAGGAGTAGCAGTAGCAGTAGCAGTTGTCGTAGTAGTAGTAGTAGTAGTAGTAGCAGTAGTAGTAGTAGTAGTAGTAGTAGTAGTAGCAGTAGTAGAAGTAGAAGTAGAAGTAGTAGTAGCAGCAGCTGCAGCAGCAGCAGCAGCAGCAGCAGTAGCAGGAGCAGTAGCCACAGCAGCAGCAGCAGCAGCAGTAGTCTTGCTGGTGGTGGTGGTGGTGGTGGGCTTCCTTTTTTTAGACGGTTTTTGGATTCTCTGCTTCCCTCCAAAACCTTCTACAGTGTTGCTCTGAGGCCCTGAGGGTCTTTGACAAGTTGCAGGTTTGTTTCAATTGTTTCTGGCACGGTTGTTGTGGATTATGGGCTTTCGGGTGCATTGGAACTGTAGGAAGGGCTTTCAACGCATCGTCTGTTTAGCGTGCACGCATTTCGTGCATACTCGACACTCTTTCATGGGGCCGACTTCCGGCCCAGCATAAGTGAGAGCTTCGGTGATCTTGTGCCACTACTCTTAATGTTATGTGACTTCCTGCGTGAGACTGGAACCTGCATGTGAGTTTTGATTTAACGTAGCCTCGTTTGACCTGCTTGGAAGACCTAGTCAGGTGGTGAGTTTTAGTCTAGTCGGCTGCGGCTTGCATCATGGATGCGCCAGGCGACAGATGCTGCAGTCATGGAAGCCATGGGCCGTACAGCTCAATTTTGGAGTGGAGCTTGTGTTTCAGTATTGCTTGTTTACTCGACTCTTGCTGTTGACCGCTGTTCTGTGCTGACAGTGTTGGATTTGTTTCAACCGTCAACCTTACCTTGTTGCTTTTGCAGCACCGTCCTTGGACCCTGAAGTCTTAGGCAATAGTACCGGAAAGCACCTTTCTGGACGACAAACTTGACAGCTAGCTGGATTATCCACTCGCTTGCACTGGAGTCTACAGGGTTCCACCCAAAGGGTCCTGGTTGTATTGACGGCCCGAAGCCTCGTTTTGGAACGCTGGGATCATGGTCATGGGTTCCGTGCTGGGTCCATGTTCCAAAAAGGCCTGGCAGCACGTTGAACCCGAGCAAGTGTGGCAGGGATGAGCTGGCAAAATCATTGTTTCAAATCACGTAGTGGGGAGTGCTCTCGTCTCGCGGAGTTCCAGACAATGAGGTGTGCTAGCATGAAGCCTGCATCATCGGATTCTGTTTCTCCTTGTATGTACTTTGCAGACACCTCCATGCATCCTGCGTGTGTTTTGCAGTTGCCGTCGTGCAGCCTCCCAACATGCACCTTAGCGCAGTGTCAACAGCGAAGGACTTTTCTGAAGAGCCGCATACGTCTTCGAAGAAGGCATTGCCCAAGAAAAGTAGAGGGGTTCCGGACGATGCCGCTGATGCTGATGATGATAAAGATGCTTGCTGCTGCTGCTGCTGCTGCTGCTGCTGATGCTGATGCTGCTGCTGCTGATGATGATGATGATGATGTCGTCGATGACGGTGATGCTAATGATGCATGAGACTTCAAAGTACCAGCGCCCTGGAAGCCAGAGCAAGGCTCGTCGTATTCAAGCGACTTGAAAGGGCAACGGGCGATGTTCGTTGACATCCTTCAGGTTAAGCCACATGCATACAAACAGATTGCGGATGCGAGAGCTGGAAGAATGATCACTAAGCCCAAATACCTAATCCTGAAGGCCCTGAGCCCTGAAATCATGGACTCAGCAATCGAGAAGTGTACCAAGCAACCGATGGACTCAGGTATGGAAGACATGGATGATGAGTTACGGCAGGCCTTGCTCCTCTCCATGCAAGAGCCGGGACCTTGGCTCTGGGAGACGCGTCTTCACACCGAAGATGTGGATGAACATCGTACCAAGTTATGAACCTATTGCTGCTGGTACGAGTATGGGTACTAGCACTAGCAGTAGCAGTGGCAGTGGCAGTGGCAGTGGCAGTAGCAGTCGTCGCCGTAGTGGTAGCAGCAGCGGCAGCAGTAGCAGTACAGCAGCAAGAACAGCAGCAGTAGCAGCAGGGGTCAGGAGTAGAAGCGTGAGTTCTACTAATACTGGTATGGTGATGATAGCATCGGTAGAGGATGGCAGTGGTAATGTGTGGTTTTGATTAATAAACCCCCCCCCTCCCCCCC